AGAAATTTGCAAAAAGATCAATATTTTATTTTTTATAATTTCGTTATTGTTTGTTTTGTAATTTTGTTTTGTTGTTGTAACCGCTATCTATGCGAACTCTTTCTCTCGTCGCCTTGTTGTTTGGAGGACATCACTATCACTGCTATCAAAACGATAGAAAACCTTCTACAGTTAGTCTTTCTAACATATCTGTATAAACGTCTATCTGGGGCTCATCTTCACTACTACTACTTGTGTCATGAGACTCATTCGTGTTTGAACGTTTTGCCATTGTTCTAATAAAAAATATGAATAAATACATAGGTTGAAAATTTCTGATTGTTATTACTAACTCACAAGATGATATTTACCAAAAAATCTTTTACCAAACAATTTATTTACCGACAGAAGAATCACTTTTCCGATTTTCTCACTCGTTAGATCTATCTATACCGCTCGACGCTTCAAACCAGACTGAGTTCAGCTTTGAAAATCTTTTCCTCCAGATTTTATGATTATAAATCTCACTATACAGTGCGTGCTATGTTCGCATACCGATCTTTCTTCTACAAACTTGCCTTATCGCTCTTATCAAGTGACGTCTTTGAAGTGCTCGGACCGTCGTGAGCATGCTTTTCATATTCTTGTCAAAACCCGCTGACATTTCTTGTATATACTTAGTAATTTTACTATATTTTGGTTTGATTTCTTGTGCCATTTCAAGAGAAAACTTCAGGGAAACATGCATGTCTGAAAAAGTTGCGCTGAAATAACTGAATTCCCCGTAATCACTACTAAACTTGAATGCCCCACGAGAGGGGACATCCGAGTGATATGCTAGAATTACGATGTCCCACGAGAGGGGACAGCGGAGTGCAAAGGGTTAAGTTCCTGTATATTTAGTCTCTTCGAGGACATCACTGCTTAACTGAAACTGCGTACAGAATCATGCATACTTTTATTGGTTAATATATACAATAGTGTTAAACTTTAAGAAATGAAGTGAGTTCCAGTAACTTTGATGTGAATTTTCTTGGGACTTACAGCTTATACTAGTGTTAAAATTAATATACTTAGTATTAGTAATAAAACCCAGAAATATTAATACTTGGGATAGAAGTATACTCTCAGAAGTATTGATTCTTTGAATCATACGAGGATCATTATTGAACAATTATCATTACTAGCGAACAATTCGTCCTTGAAGAGATTAAAAAAAGATGATTCACGGCTATAGGTCGTCTCAAGCGTTGCATAGAGATCTTCCTAAGCCAAATTCAGTTTCCATAGTCTCGATTAGCCATAGAAAAACGATTTATTTTCAGAAGAGGGCGAGGGAGAGGTGGTGCTGTTGAAAGGCGAGACGGTTCTAGTGATAGGGGCGTCACCCAGCCGAGGTCACCTGCTTGTGGAGCACAACAACACTACTTTGCACGTCCCTTATCAGTTCATGGAACTGAAGCCCTGTAATATCAACGTCTGAACGCGTTATTTATTCCGTGTCTGATTATACATAAATATTTCCTCCCCTGCTCCGAGCAGTGGAGGGAGGAGGAGCGAGAGCGGGGGTGGTGGTAAACGAGAGTAGAAACAACCAGCCCCGCCATATCGTCTCTAATTAGTCCGAATGAAGTCTGATATTGTGAGAATAACACCGGGGAAACACCCGGAATAAAGTTCGGGCGCAAGATATACCCGGGTAGGGAATGGTCGGCGATTAAATGGGAAACAAAAAGCGGGGGTGGGATTAAGGCGGGCGGCCGGTGCTCCACAGGACACTGAACTTCGTCCTTTAATTAATTACACCGGCCGTTAAGCGAGTTTAACGCGGAAGTCACTACGCCGGTGCTTATCGCTCGTTTGAGACGCTGCGCGCCCGCTGAAACCACCCCCTCTTCTCTGCGCCCGGTGCCGCCACCCTCTGCGAGTCACGTTCGTCTTCCATGTAGATAAGTACACGCCACGCGCGTTCTCGAATTAGTAAGCATGTTAGCCGGTAAACGTCAGCGAGTCTGCGTCTGTTGGAGGCCAGCGTTCGAGACTTTTCCAAGCTTCTCGTTAATGTTGCTCGTAAAAGTTCACCGGCGCGTTCTACTCTGTCTTCTCGATTAATTGCTAGCGAAAGTACGTCTTTGTTGTTCGGTATTATGCAGTCCGTACGATCCGTACAGTTGGTCACGGCGTTTCAGCGTTCCATGGAACTAATTTTTCAACACCTTTAACGCGGACTTTGCGCACAATTTCTGCGACAAATATTTCTGTAATTTCAAGGCACTTAATCCGGCTGTACGATAAATTGCATTTTCTGTTTCTAATTTATTTGTGAAATATCAACGAAATCGACTAATGTGAGGAACAACGCAACGACTTCGATCTCCGTCCGATTTCAATCTTCGAATCTCTTTTTGGTTTCTTAAATGTAATCGACGTTCGTTGACTCTTCTGGCTATGTATTTTCATGTCGTTCAAATTCGTAAAAATTACTGCGTTCTCGTAGAACGAAAAGAGAATTCGATCCGACAATGCAGAACCTGCGCCGGTCGACCGAGACAGGGTTCAAGTCTCGAACGCTGCGGACAAAGTCCACGAGAGCCAATGTATAGAGAATTCACCGTGGCCCAGGGGTCGTCGCTCGAACTCCGATGATCCGGGGACACCCGCAATGTATAAACGCAGTGTATAAACAATATTCGCGGACGTTCTCGGAGGGGGAGGGGAGAGACTCTCGAGTAAGCGGTAACTTTATTGCGTCTATGAAGAAAGTTGTGTCGGGAACGAGATCGAGAGAGCTCGGAATGGTTGAACGATATTTACCAACAGTATTCCTTCGTCTATCTTTGAATTCTTAGTGCCAATTTCTAGAATGAAATCTGTCGCTACGCCGCGGCTTAATAACGCGGCTGATCCTCCCTGCCTCCTAAAAACTTCGTCAACCGTCAAATAAACGGCGACGTTGTCGGGACGGTTCTTCCGAATCTTCGACCACACTTTGCTTCACCGGAAGTTATTCACGGCATCGTGAAACCGGTTCTAGAAACGAATATTAAACCGTTCGCGATATTCCGTCGCGGGAATCGTATTCCGAATTTTCGCGAGACGATAGGGAAATATCTTCCGAATATTTAGCGAATCGTATTAGAAATTTGTTGGGTTATAAGGGGCTATAAAAGGGGTGGTTTCGATATAATTGCGCTCCGATATAATTGTTCACAGATCCGTGGATCGTTAATCTGAAGCTTCGCAGTCTCGGGTTTTCATTCGATGCTCGAAAATATTTTCCAAACATCTGATGGAAAGCTGTTAAAAATTTCTGAAAATTCGGAACGTCTTTCCGAGTCTCAGAGCGTTCGAATAAAATTCTCTTTCGAATCCAGCTTCGTCTCTTATAGGAAAATATCTTCTGAATATTTAGCGAATTGTATTAGAAATTTTTTGAGCTAAAAAGGGGGTGGTTTCGCGACCCTCCTACGCTCCGATATAATTGTTCACAGATCCGTGGATCGTTAATCTAAAGCTTCGCAGTCTCGGGTTTTCATTCGATGCTCGAAAATATTTTCCAAACATCCGCTCGAAATCTTTTAAAAATTTCCGAAAATTAGGGAACGTCTTTCCGAGTCTCGGAGCGTTCGAATAAAATTCTTATCGCTCCAATGTGAAACCAGAAAAGAACGGATCGACGGGATCGCTCGCTCGCGCGCAAACGATTTAATTGGGAAACAATTGCGTTCTCGCGTCGCCGAAAGAAATATTTATGAAACGGGGTGCAAGAAATTCGCTGCACGAGCTCGTATAATAATGCTTGGACCGTTATCGGGTCGATGCGACCGGCCGAAAATAAATTCGTGAGAAATCCGTGCGGGATTTCCGTTCGGTAAAATTGAAATAAACCGATCGATTTGTCACAGCCGGGCGATGGCGGCCGCCCGTAATGGCGGCGCAGGGCCGCCGGAAGATTAGGTTCAGGCTTCTCGGGATAAGGCAGTCAAAGTGTCGGAAGAAGTGACGGACAGTTTCCGGGAGGTATTACATGTAGATATTGTATTCGAGAGATATTATATTACGCTGCGGGGGGATGGTCGGTCGGTTATTTCGCCGCGCGGCAACCTGTATTATATTAGATATCGCGAGGCAGCGTCGACAGTAGCTCTAGAGGATAGTCCCCTAATCGACATTATGCTATCATTCTACTCCGCGATAATCGTAACGCAACTGTTCTAACAGCGACTCGGGGTGAGGTAGGACACGACCGCTTTGTAGATACACGAAACTCGTTCAGTTTGAAACGATAAGCGTCCGTCGAGAGAGAGAGAGAGAGAGAGAGAGAGAGAGAGAAATTGTGAGAATGTGAGAGAGAGTGAGAGAGAGAGAGAGAGAGAACTCGCCCTAGAAACTCTCGAGAGCACAGCGTCTCGAGGACTGTACATACGAGTATGTATGCCGATGTTACGCGGTTTACGGATACCGGAAGCTGAGAACCGAGGCGTATAGGTAGCTGTAACCGCGTCGAGAACTTTTCGAATAAAATGTAAGCGTCTTTGGATATGATTGTCGACGATTCCCTGAGTTTCTCTGAATAATGATCCATCCGTCCCCTCCGTCCGCGCGACCTTTATTAACATTCTCTCTCACGAATTATTGCCTTTGTTCCGCAGGACTGTCCCAGGCCATCGACGACGTTCCCTGTCGAACATTTAAACTTTCAGGGACCGTTTTCCAAACGACTCGACGCCTCTGGAACGACGCTTTCGTGGTAACTGCGTGAGTATCTTTCTCGTCGGAAGGTTCCATTGTTGCAGAGTTTTAGCGGAACATTGTTTTATATCTAATTGCATATATCATTATTTTATATATAAATATATATATATAAAATAAATTTCATTTTATATATAAATATATGTAAAATAAATTTCATTTTATATATAAATATATGTAAAATAA